GTGCCTTCGAGACCAGCCGATAACATCGTCGAAGAAGGCACTATTTTTACTGATTTTGTTCTCACCACTTTCAGATCCTCCTAAACGATGTGATTTCAACGGTGTTCACTACAACTTAGGAGACACTTGGAATCCTTTCCTGTTGCCAAGTGGTTACTTCCGGTGCATAAAATGTGCCTGCAAATTGGTAGGTATCCCATGTCGCTGCGAAAAGTACGTAAAAGGCGATGAATCAACAGAAATCATTTTGATCAGTTTGGTGGATTTATTGGGGAAGACTTTTGCGGGCATGACGGTTTAATTCTGTTTCTTGGAACCGCAGGATCATTGCTTTTTAGTGCAATTGCTTCTATATTCCAAGGGATTGGGTTAATTATATTTAATACATCTGCAGGCCCAACGTAGGGTCACTTTGATTGTTTATAGTTAATTTAATTCTTAGTTCAACGCTCTTCGTATCGCGCGGACCCTTTGGTTCCTCATTCAAATGATCACCGACGTTTAAGATTTATCGTAAGAATAAGTGATCTTCATTGCTAGATAGCAAATTTTACAAACGGTACTCAGTGAAAATGTGCATCTTATTGGTAAAGATGGTGAAGATATCTTTCTTGAGCATTTTTAAGTCAGAGACAAAACTTATATAGGGATCTTTTGCGTCCTTTGAATAAGACAAATAAACTTCTATCTTCGGAGAACAATAATTTGGAAAATAATTTTAATTAAGACGTTCCTATTAGCTGGAATGAAACTTGCAAACAGGACAAATTTCTTTAGTTTCTGAATGTGACGTAATGAAACAATATTAGTGACCTTACCGGAAAAAAGATGGTTCTGTAGGTGCTGTCTAAATTTTTTGTACCCATGTACTCCTTGCTGTTGCCTTCCTTTATAGTCAGACGATGGTTCGTTGGCGATAATAGACTGTTCGCAATGTAGGACGCAATCGAATCCAGGTATGTGAACATGTTACTTGAGTAAGTGAAATGCAAAGATAAAAAAGTTAAAAAAGGAATAAAATCAATAGATGTGGCTTGCTGAAAATTTCCAGAAATTCCACGCATGTTCCTCTCTGAGTCATATAACGTGTACGTATGTGTCTGCGTCAATCACCGAAATAGAACTTTGTTCTGGAGAAGAAAATCGTTTTTCTTATATCGGCAAAAAGGGAAATTGAATGACTAGTTCTTAAAAAAGGCCATGTGAGTCTGGCTTATTGTTTATTTTCTTTTTAGCCCTTCCTTCGACAAAGGAGCAACAGAGGAGTTGTACTTATAAAAATGTTTCATGGAATCACGGTGTGGTGTGGAAAGACGATTCCAAGATTCTACCGAATGATAAACAGTGTAAAGAGTGTAGCTGTACGGTGAGCAATATCAGTTCTTATAAACGAGTGGCGATAACAGTTAGTATATGCCAAAAGAGTGGCTAGCGCTGAAGGTACGCTCTGATTGGCCACACAAATTTCGAATATCCTTTGGTATTCGCCTTCGAGCAACTCGCGCGGGATTTGCGCCCGAAAATATTGTAATTGTTGCAGGAATGAATAATTTAAAATCATCTTTTTAAGCTCTGTTATGTCGCTCTTTTAGTGTATACTAGAACAAACATACACCTAGCCACGTCCACTTCGGTGAATAATTTTTGACTGTACGGACTTCTTCAAATCTAATATTTATATCATCGAGAGGCATTTTGACATTTTCCTCCAGTGGTCTGTACGTTTGGCTAACTATGAAAAAGAAATCTTTATTATGCGATTGGGTCGCACATTGCACATTGTTTCTTTGGACTTGTCTGTCGAAGATTATGACATCCTAAATAAATGATAAGATGTGAAAAACGTGCAGGGATAAGGAAAAAAGGAGTTGCTACTTATACGGTACGCATTATTACTAACTGCGCGTGCGCCACATACCATATACAAATGTGGGATTGGGATTAGGGATAGGGATTGCTTATTACATTCTCAGGATTGCTACTTGAGAAACATGCAAGGATTATTACTTGCAACTTTATACTATTGTTCATTTAACTTTTCAAATGATTTGTGAAATGCTGATGAGGAAATTTCCTTCGCTTAAAATTTCGTCAAGTATAGTGCAGTTTTAAAGGCTTGTTGTGGCATTTGCTAAAGATGGATGGGATCTCATACCATAGTTTCGTGGGCTTAAGATCCACCCAGGATGATATTGTCTTTGTCATTGGCTCTGACGAAGGGCCAACGTTCGAAACGTCAGCTTTGAAACTCTTTACGGTGGCCAATTTACGTTATCAGCTCAATCGATAATACTAAATTACCCTGTTATACTTTGCCACCGACAAGCACCACAGTTTCTTTAGAAATTCACTCCCTTTATTCATGTGATATATTGTCTGATAAGGTCAAAAGAGGCTCGGAAAACAGCACCATTTAGGGCTCTATTTGGCAACATTTTGATAAAAAAAGCATGCAAACATGAATAAATATTTTCTTTTATTGCTTGTTTCTCTTTTGATTTTCTTGTGTACAATTGCAGGACGGATATGTCACCTGCGCCATCAGAACTTGCCCAGTCCTTACCTGTCAGAATCAAACAGCTGGACAAGGATCTTGTTGTCCTGTTTGTGCAGGTATAATGCATTCAAGTCAACCGTATGACTGTCTTGACGCAAACCGTGACGGATGTGGACAAAATACTCATAGTCATAAGCCCCAAAGTGTCTTAATGAGCTTCCTCGTGGGGATAACAGACCATTTTATATATTCATATTTAAATATTGTTCATATCTAATGGCGAAATTAATCGATCAAGTTATAACTAGATCAGATTTTAGGAATTTGCAGTTCGGAAGTTGAGTCTGTGTACTGTTAGGGTAGTTTTGAGGGTGAGCTACCGCAAAAAAATACACAAGAATTTCCAGTTTCAGAAGGCTTAGAAAAGGAAAGCAGTCTTTGTAAACCGTGTTTAGAACGTATTGAGCTTTTCACTTGCCACTCTGATCGCAGAAGAAATTCATTCGAAAAAAAAAATTACAACATCTTTGAGTTGTAATTGGCTGAGCTGGTTATTACTTCCACACGTTAAGTCGAAATTTTATTATTATCGATTTTTGCTGAGGGGTTTACCTACATCAGCCATGCTGCAGCATCACGCTCAATACTTTTTCCTTATCACTTTTCTGCAAGAGGGGGTTGGTGCAGCGAAGAGTGACAGTCCATTAGTCACTCTTGGAAGAGAAAGGATGACACTTTTGACACCGTGAATTCGGAAAAAAATTTCCCATACAACAAACACGTCCCAACAAGTTTTAAACATCTTTTTTCCTTTCTCTTTGAAATTGAGCTGCTTTTAGAAGGAATGTTTAAGTAACCTTTTTCTCTTCTATTGTCGTTTCAGACCACTTGCAGACTCTTCGGTCTCCCATGGGTATGTCCAGTCTACTTTTTGTTTGTTTGGGTCGGCAGGAAATCAATAAAACAGTATTTTCTCCAAAGAAATTTATAGGAAAGAAATTTAATGAATGGAAGAAGAAATTGAAAATTAACAGAAGAAACAATGCAAAAGTAAATAAATAAAAAGATTTTCGTTTAATGTTTCCAGGTTCAATTGCAATTTTAAGCGTCGTTTTTTTAGTAGGAGGAAACCGGAGAACTAGGAAAAAACCCTTAGAGAAAAGACGAAAACTAATAACAAACCTAGCCCCCCATTTGACACCAAGTTCAGTTATCCATCCCAGACCAGGCGATCGTTCACATAGTCCCACCATTCATGTTCCCCTAAAACTACTCCACATGAAATTTGATGTTGTACAAACCACTTCCTAATCAATACGTACACGTCTGGGTTGTTTCACACTTTTTCCCAGATAAAATAAGTAGTTAAACAATACAAATGAAGTTTTTATAAGAAAAATCAATGAGGCATACCTTTAGAGTTTTTGATATTGTTTTTGTTCTTGTTTTAACTGTTTTTTTATTAGTGAGATTATTACGATCGAGTTATGTTACTTTCTCTTTGCTTTTTAACGAATTAAGAGCCTGCCGTTGAAATTTAAATGTTCTCTTTTCAGGGTGCGATATGATGAATAGATATTACAATCACGAGGAAACCTGGCACCCAGAATGGCCCCAGACAAATGATCGTTACCCCTGCATCACATGCAGTTGTCAGGTATTTGCATTGTAGGCTTGTTTCATAACTTCAAAGGAATTACCAGAAGTTATAAAAAAGACGTTTCTTTCCTTTCAATTAAATTATTTCACCACTGTCAACTATAGAGAAAGCAAAATGGTAGTATTGAGCGAGTTCCAAGAAGGAAAGGCCGAGATCTATATGTTGACCATATAAAGCGAAACAAGGTTGCTACAAGGCCTCAAATTTTTTTTTGTTTCACCTTTCTCCTCAGAACTCTTCAGTAAATTGCAATAAGACCGTCTGTCCTGCGTTAACCTGTAGAAATCCTCAGCCGAAACCAGGGGAGTGTTGCTATTCCTGTCCAGGTATTTTTATTTTAACCCTTCAATTCTCAGAATTGATAAACAGGTCACTTTTCTTCTCGATACTGATACACCATCGGTGAATTGATGATAATAAAACTCAAACTTATCGGGAAAATTGTGCTGACTTAACAAAAAGAGCATTTCCATTGAGTGTCATCAAAACCAAATCAAAGGTATCATGACAGCCAATCAGAGGAAAGAAATATACAACCAGGAGCCAAACAGAACTCAATGTAAAAGCAAAGAAACTGATTGGAGCGCGTGACCAAGGCGTGATTGGCTTCAGTTTTGAATCTAATTTTTTGAGAAGATGACCCGAGTTTTTTGGACTAATCTTGAAGTAAAGCGAAGAAAATCCCGGAAATCATTCGACGCACGATTCAAAATTTCTTCAACACCAATTTAAAATGAGTAGCAGCTTGAAGAGAGAATTACGAGTCACATCTTGTAAGAAGGATGCCTGAAATTGTTTGTTGAACAAAAAAGTTCCGTTGAGGTCTTACAAACCTATGGGTTCCTTACAGCCGTAAATCATATCGATTTTCTATGTTTGAAGCGACCAGTAGTAATGTTTCATTTTGGCAAGGAGAACCAAAAATATTTGAGAATCCACCAACGCTCCTGACCCAGAGATATCAGATCAATGGAGTGAGGTAATTGGACTTTTCTCTCGTGCATTCAATGCTGAAAGTTCACCATAGGGCAAAGCCCAAGACATTTCATATTGCAACCCTCGTGTGATTCATGTGATCACTTTTCATATTTGGGTTTTATGAAAAAAAAAAAAAAAAAAAAAAAAGCATGTGATTTAAGACCTTTTGAGGCTTTAATCACTCAGAAAGTCCAGTGCTCCGATCTCCAGTTAAACCTCAACCAAAAATGAGAAATTTCACGACGGATTCCCAGTCACCAATAATTTAGAGAACTTTGCTTAATCAACTGAGCTGGCAATGTGAATTGGCCACTGTAGAGAGATTCTAAGGCTTACGTTTCAAGCGTTAGCCCTTCGTCAGAGTGATTCATAACATCAGCTTTAGAATCTCTTTACGATAACCACTCACATTATCAGCTTAGTTGACAAAACCAAATTACCTTCGTATACCCCCACCGACAAAGGCATCACAGTTTCTTTAGAAAAGTATCCCTGTTACAAAAAACCGGTAAGTAACTTAACTGTCCATATATTTCTCGCAATCAAGACGGTCTAAAAAGTATCGCTGTCTCGTGTGCGCTGTGCAGAAACCTTCACCAGAAGCAGCTTTTTCTTCAACATAACGACGCTATTACAAATAAGTTACTATAAGCTTTTTATAATGTTTATTTGGCATTCGAAAACAAGAATGTTAAAATTTCCATACCAATCACAGCTTCGAAAAATGATTTGAAAAATATAGAGGTGGAGTCGTTGTTTTTAAGGTCGTGGTTTGCATCGTTTCCATCCATCTTAAACTGTATATCTTACTTTCCTTCGGATCGATTTTCTCAGTTGATTTTTATCAAAATTATGCAGTAAATAATTATTGGCCACTCGCTGAAGAGCGAAAGATCGTCGCACTTATCTAAGCTGTTCATTGATTGAGGGAAACAACAAACTCGCCACGATATAAGAATGCAAGCAGAGACACGTGGTAGTAAGGAAACATTTTAAGTACCATCTAGTCAGCACTTATACGATCAAGTTGTTAACGAGATCAGATAACCGAGAAGGGAGCGCACGAAAATTATTGCACACTATCCAGTTACACATGGAGGACCCGTAAATTGACTTATTGCAATGTCAAAAAAAAAAAGGTGCACATTGCCTTACAGGCGCTCAAATCATTCTGTGGATGGCCAATTGAATGAGAAATTAAAAAAATTTCTCTCTGTTTACTTCATTATCAGTCAGTTATTACATTAGCCAGAGTCACCTTTCCACCGCAGCCCATAGCTTTTAACCTTTATCAGTTTCTCGTCAGCTAATAACCGTAATCAAGTAATGCTGTTCACTTTTCTAATGGTAATACTAGTGTAAATTTAGAAGAAACATTTTAAGCTGCTAAGCTAATGCGTGCTAATTCAGCCTTGATTTGCTTCTTCTTGCTTTTGTGGCTAATTGATTTCAGCTAACTCCTTTAAAGTGAAAAGGAAAATATCTTCCAAACCCTCAGGAAGTATCGGAAGTCTGCTAAGACGGAGAGGTAGGAGTTCCACATTTGGGCAACGCATTGCATTGCTGCAGCAGGTCAGGGAAAAGTCAGGGAATTTCACTTTGAGTCGGGGAAAATTTACCTCTCTTGAAAAAAGTCAGGAAAAAATGATATCTCAAATAAATATGAATTCTTTCATTTTGTCGTGGCCCTCTTATGATTAAAGATGGTGACACTTTCCTTTTTGTGATGATGATGTTACCCATCAAATGTACTTTGTTCGGTATAATTGGAAAATTCCCGACTAGAAAATCCTTCCCTTTGTGATGCAAGTGTTAGTTGGTTTATGACTGAAATCATAAATTTTATTTTCCTTCTATTTTCATCTATTTCCAATTCTCGGGTATATTTCACGAGACTATCAATGCTTTCTACATGTTTCTTTAGGCACTATCAATTCATATACACTGTATGTAACTTACTGAAAGCGTTATTTTCTTTCCCCGTATGGCTTTGAAAATTTTTGTTCCAACCAACCCCAACCAGGGTCTCTATTTTGACTATTATTTTGCACCCGCAATACCTTTGCTCTTACTGACCAAAATAATTTCATCCTCAGCTCGCTTAATGTTAGTTAACTCTTCATATGCTTATACTGCTAATATCTTACTTCGATTCAATAAAGTAAAATAATGGTAAAGTAAAAATAATGCTAACCCCTGCGAAATACATTAACTTCCTTATAGTGCACAATCGCAATTCGATTATCGTCGACTTCAAAAATTGGTCCAGAAGAAGGAAAGGTAGAAAAGGTAAATTTTTCACACGAACCAAGCGACAATGAGTAACGCAACCTCTCTCTCTCCGAGAAGCAATGCTATCTTATCACTGGGGTATAAATTCAAAACCAAAAAGAGAAGCGAGAAGTATGTTGTGAGGCCCATAGCGGCTACTGAAATGTTAGTCTAGATCAAAAATATCAGTAATTTACACATCAATGCATTAGTCAGTATTCGATGTTGAGTTCCAGGTCAATTCGAGGTTGTCTCGATGCAACGCTAAAACAACGCATTAAATTCAGAGGAGTTGATAAGTTAGTAAGTCGGACGTGCTTAATTCATTAAATTACAAGGTCTCGTATTCTTATTGGGAAACCTCTTACTCGTTCGTTTGCTCATTATAGTGATACAGTATTTAAATGCCAACATGTGGTGGACTTTTTCTAACTTTTGACTTCCTGGACCGGAAAAAATGAGTCGTACAGTTGAAATTAGAAAGTGCTTCCAATTATTTCATCTTTTACGAAAGATTTAAAAGCTCAAATTTAAAAAAAAAATTTGCGCAAACTATCAGCGCCGATATCACTCTCAACCTTTCCACGGTTTGCACGGTATAAGTTGCCGAAAATCAACCTGGATTTTCATTATCAGGTAATGCATTGTTTCATACCCTTCCAGCGTGGCAAGGATCTTTATCACTTAGAACTTCAAATCATTCGGTGGAAAAATAAACTATAGGTAACTCAAAATAACAGTTGCGAGAGTCTTTGTGAATCTTTACGCGGAACGCTCCGACCCCTCCCTTCCCCTCCACAACCCAATGAGAACGTCCACCATACCCCGGTACTCATTCATCAGTCTTGGCTGCCCCAATAGGTCGTTTGTTTCTTGAGCTCGGTCCTGACTGAGTTGATTTTTTCTAAGAGTCATATTATAGTATTAGTAGTATTTAAAGTAAGTTGCGTACCCGCCATAAGGTCTCATTATCTGCTCTTCATAAGACGCAGATGTTCAAGTTCATCAAATTTACCCCAAATGGTTTTTTCAGTGCAAAATATTTATTCATCTTCTCATCTTAATCAATTGATTATTCATTTATTTAGTTGTATTCCATTTGTTTATTCATTTATCATATTGGTTTCTTGACAGAGCCAGGAATACCAAAGCCCCCTGCTGACTGTAAGTGGGGAGGATTAACGATTGCTCACAATACTTCATTTTTTCCACCAACTCTTGGTGCATTTTCAAATTGCATCTCCTGCTTCTGCAATGTAAGTTTTCGAATGACACAGTGCGTTTTTAATGTTTGTACATATCTCGGACGCGGGGTGGTTCCGATACAAGAAGATCCTTTTTTAACTCCAAACTGTTCCTTTTCCCAGAAACACTGTGCTTCGAACGCTTGACTATCTGACATTATAACCCACCCGCTAATTTTCGCGCAATACTATTGGCCTCTAAACGTCATGTGGTGCAAAGTCACCACACGAAGGCTCATGGTAAAGTCGAGGCCTTACCTCTAACAAACCAAAGAATGTGGAAATCAACTATACTGAGTATATCTACGTTCAATGAGAATATTTAACCTTTTACGTCTCTTTTCACAGAACTCTAAGTTAGTCGATTGTAAGCGTGTTACATGTCCGACTCTCAATTGCAACGACACTTTTAAACCCCCTGGGAAGTGCTGCCTGGAATGTAGAGGTGAGCTTAAGTTTTCAAACATCTCCAGGCTTTTTAATCTCATGAAATCCATTCCCAGAAGAAGATAACCGTACTGCCCCGTGTTACGGCTATGCAAAGGAAGGGAAGCGCGTCAGTCTCCTATTTCCTCAACATTACATCGTGTTCTTACTTCCTGAATTAGAATAAAGGCGAATGTTGCACCATGAACCACCTTAAGCTGACTCTGCTTTTAGGTTCCAAAGAGTAACCTAGCATTTCAGAAATGTCTTCGGCTTTGCACAAAATGCGACTGCGGACGCACCAATTGACTCTTCGTTGAGCCTCAGAACTAATTTTTTTTTTTTATCACCTGGCGTTTTATTTGAACTATCAGAAGCTACATTATTTTATTATCTCATGATTAAATGATCGTGCCGCAGAACACGGTGTGCGATTCTCTGATTAGTCATTTTCTTAAAATACAAGCAGGTGAGCTGAGATAAGGTTCAACAGTTTTGTTAAAGTGCTGCTCTCTATTTGTATGTAGCTCTTTCAAATTATCTTTCAAAAATTTGGTCCGTACTTTTCGTTCCATTTTTACATCAACTTTGTAATCGAAAAACCCGTTTATAATTCGAATCTTTCCCCCACTTCCCCTTCTTAAGACTAATGTTTCTCTATTTAAAATGGTAAAAATTTCTTCTCAAGAAAAGTTCGTAGTTCAAATGGTGCGGCGTTTTGTTTTGGCCAAGAGGTTCATCAGATACCTTTGACCGGAAATATTAAGCAAACTCGTTTACTATTACAAGCTCCATTCCCAAAGTTCAGATGCATGTTTCTTAAGGAGTTTGAATTTAAAGTCCGAAAGGGACGATGCTGATGATGCTGAAGATGATGTTGATGCGATGAATCAGCGTTCTTGCTGTATCCTTTTTATTTCAGTTACGACAGAAAAGAAAGACAACGTGCATTCACATGGAAATGGACTTTGCAATGTTGGAAAATCCCGGCGCCTCTATGAATATCAATTCCCAACGCAAAGAAACTCTAACTACAAGGTACAAGTTGCTTTGGTGGATAACGCCAATAATTTTGCGCAGATTTACTTCACCTCTGCAAACAGGACATGGAAGAATCCGCCCACTGTCACAAACACAACCAAGAGTAACTTCGATTCCATCCTAAGACAGAGCAATAGGTACAAGTACATTGGCAAGATAAAGGAGGGTAAGTGGTAACAGGTATAGTTACTTAAGATAGGTGGGAAAAGGAGATAATTTATAAAAATGCTCTTATTCACCACTTCACGGGTTTATTTGGAACCAACACATTGACCAGCTCCCAGTTGGCTTGTTAGCTCAGTTGATAGAACACTGCACTGGTATCGCAAAGTTCATGGGTTCAAATCCCATACAGGCCTGAATTTTTTTTTCAGGCCTTCTTTTCACCACTATTTGAGTATTGTTTATTACTGCGAAGATCGCTTTCATATTCAAAAATGCTCTTCTTAGGTAAGAAAGGGATCAGGATCATGAGTCGACTTCAGCGTCCATGTGGTAGCCAGGGATGCATCCATACACTGCAAAAGATAATGGAGCGACTCCGTGAACGAACTAAATGCTCCCCGATGGTCATGGCTACACCACCTCAAACGAAACACACTACCATAGCTCCACCACCTCACAAAATTCTCAAGCAGGAGACAGACCCCTAAAACTTCCTGAGATTTTTTACGAGACGAAAAACATTTAGTATGTTTGAAGGAACGCCAGGACTGTTTCCGGCCCAAATGGTTCTTGTCTTTTAGCTACGCCATCAGTAGAATTCTTTGATGTAGATGTCACGCACTTCGTCGGCGAAGTCGAGCGTGAGGAGATGAACGGGTCATAGTCATTGCCAGGGGATTTATAGTTTGGAGACTCTACCTTAGACTTGAATTGAAAGTAGTGAATAAAATTTTGAATTGGGCTTGTTGAATGATTAGATAGTATCTGTCAGTGTCACCAACTACGGAATCATTTCGATGTGCTACCACTGAGTTAAAAATCATAAGGAAAGCGCATGCATCTGTAGAAGAAGTAGAGGAAAGCGAAAACACGGACCTTAACAGTTCTGTACACAAAAACCTTGCTCTTGAATAGTATAGGTTGAACATGGTTTTAAAAACTGCTTCTGACACACGTATTCAAGCGAAGTTTAATCATAGTAGATCAGGATGGCCTATCTATCGTATTTTAGAACGGCACAAAAGATAAATTATAACTCTTCCATCCATTGTCGACCACGAAGCCGTCAATTTCGCGACAACAACAGAAGACAAAAACAAGAAGTACCAAACATTACGAAATTTCAATTTCCGTGGCTTTGAGTCTGCTTCAGAATCAGAATCAGAACCTATTTAGGAGCCTTGGCTTTGTACATCCCTTTCGGTAGTAGCGTTGGTTAAGATCGCTTTGTAGGAATATAAAGCAGTTTTCAATTGAGTACCCAAAAAAGCAAAACCATAGTAATAAAGGGGGTAAGTTTGTAAAGAAACTGTGGTGCTGCGTCGGTGGGAGAATATTACAGGGCATTTTAGTGGTATTAACTGAGTTGAGAACGTAAATTTGCCACCGTAAAGAGTTTGGAGGCTGACGTTTCGAGCGTTAGCCCTTCGTCAATCGCTCTGACGAAGGGCAAACGCTCGAAACGTCAGCCTTTAAACTCTTTACAGTGGCCAATTTACATTTTCAACTCAGTTAATAACACTAAAAAACCATAATAATCCCACCGACCGGTCAGGAAAAAAGTTTAACATTGTCATTAGCCAATTATAACTTAAAGCGGAAATAAGCAAACTACTTAAAGCGCGGAAAAACGCGAATGAGCACTAAGTCGCGATTGTTTTCAGTTTTGCATCTGATTAGTCGAGAAGATGGTGCGAGTTTTCTGAACCAGTCACAGAGCAGAGTAAAGTATAACCAAAGCAATCACGGATTATTTTTGACACCGTGGTGAAAATTGCTGTTTACTAAATTTACAAAACATTTATCGAAAAACTGGGCCAGGTTGTTAAAATATCAATTGAGGGATAACAGTGAAGCTAAACTCTGCGGCATACTGAGGTATGAGAAGCCTTTCATAGAATTCGCCTGCGCTCTGCGCTTTTGTTTCCATATTTATCATCGCATTTACTATTTTGTCCCCTCTGACAAACGGTCTCAACAGAACGTCTACCAGTTTTAAAATTTCTAATTTCAAGTCTCTGTCTCTGATACTAATACAACCCTGCTGAGCTGTCTGGAAATTGTTCATAGAGGGCAACTTTGTCCGTGGCCCACGGACAAATTTGATAAACAGTGTGTATCAATTGAACAGAATTTGTAGTAGCATCTGGCGTTCAAGACGTCCTCTGCTGCTATTAGGCAATTATTGGGTTAGGCTGAGCAAGATCAGTCATGAATTATCAAAGCCAAGGCCTGTGTTACCTTCAGTTTCGGCAGATAACACAGACACGAGGTTTGGTATTTCACGACATCCTGCAAAACCGAATTCAATAATTGTCTTAATATACATTTTTCAAACAATCTGCAAATAAAGACACTTCTCTCTGAGTTTGCAAAAGAGAAAACCACACGGACGAGGGGCTCGGAAACTAGACAGACTTGAACTCGAAATGATATGTGCAACATCCGTTGCAGTTATTGGGTCATTACGTCAACTTATGTCATACGCTATTGGATATTGATTGCATGCACTGGGCCATTCGCATTTTTCACTTTAAGTCTAACGTATATGGGTTATTGACCAAGCTTGTGCAGTCAAGATAGCTAGATCTTGGTTGAGTTCTTCTTTTGCGCTTTTATAAACCTAGATAGAGTTGGGGTCCATAACGCAATGAAAGAACAAGGCTAATATCCAGCCATCTTGACCGAACAGACTTGGTCAATGAAAGATGTATTGTATAACAAAGAGATTTCGCTTTAATAAGAATCAAGAATGACTTGATAATTTCTAGATTCGAAAGAGGCCAACTGTGTTAGTAGCACAATGAACCCACGATGGTCGTTTGTTTTTCTTTGTTTTGACTGTTTTCTGCCGCTTTCTGCGACTTCATCACCGACATTATACAAAATTTACGAAATTTGTAAGTCCGCTCCACGCAATGTTTTTCATGCGAGGGGTCAAAGTTGGTAATCCCGAGCAGGCAAGATGGGCCCATCTTGCCCTGTCGGGAACACAGGATTCGCATCATATTGCCCACAGTCGCTGCCAGCTGTGCAATAAATAATGATATTAATCCTTTGCCTCACAGTTATTTGACTTGATTGCTATTTTCGCTCAGCAACCTTTCTAATTGAAGCGCATCTGAGCCGTCTGATATGGATAACAATCCAATACAATTTTATTCCTTGATTAAACAATAATCAAAAATAAAAATGGACAATGTATCTATATTTACACTCCGTTTCCACTCGTTGCGCTTTTAAGTTTATTCATCAATCTCGGGCATCGTGGCCAACGAAAGAATTGGCCCGTGTAAAGCGTAAGGAGCACACTCTCTGTCTATGTCGTTGTTGGCTTTGTGGGCGCCCAGTTAAGTTACTAAAATAGGCGGACCGAACAAAAACCAGTTATTCCTTAGTTCTCTGGTGTCCCATTCTTCTCACGGCTAAACGAATCAATCCATCAGCAAAACACAGGCTTGCTCCCATATGGGCCAAGGCGACCACTCGAAAGATTCGGGCTCAAAATATTTCTTGGTCGTTTCTGCCTTGTCGTTTATTCATAGTTTTCGGGTAGAAAACGATAACCTGGTCGACTCGACGCAGCTGTGATTAACTCTCTTTTTTTTTAAGCACAAATTGTGTCTGCATGCTATATTACCAAATAATTGGTTCATGCCTGACTGTGCATATATTGAGTGATGGATGCACTTGGACAGTTTGGAGAGCACTTGAGAAGCTAGAGTTGGTCTCGGCTGCGCCTCAAGCAACTCTTAACAGCTTACGCTTCTTTAGTGTCCTCTTAGCTTCCTACTTCCTACATCCCAAACTCGATATACGCTCGCTAAGCATGGGCATTTTATTTAATTCGCTTTGAAACGTAGTTTAACTTTAGATAAAAGAAAGGAACTACACAAAAAAAACCCACTTCGGTGGGATAATTCTAAAATTATCACCACTAATCGGCGTTACCACCAGCGCCTTTGTTTGGAGGCTTGGCATATTAACTCCGCCCACGCTCCTTTAAATCGTGACGATGGCGGTTTGCTTCCTGACGCCTATTTACACCTCGTCAGAAAAAAAGGCCGCTAATTAGTGATCATATAAAAGGACCTCTTGTTGCAGCGTTTAGATCACCCCTGATGAAGGCACTAGACAGGAGTGTCGAAACGTTGGGTCTATGAATTGTAACTTCTTCGGTTATATTCATTAAATCTGCAAACCTGAGTAGATCAAATCTAATATCAGAATACCAAACAAAAATACGAAAGCTGCAACGTCGAGAAATAAACGAAGCAAAAGGTACTCCATTTTCTCCACTAATAGCCCGTGAAGATGGTATGAATGGAGGGGTCTTCATGCTGGCTGTGGATTAGAATTTCATTACTTTTTCTGTAATCGGTTAAAATCCTCGATCTTTGTCGGTAGTCAGTAAATCTCAGTTAATGATCAAAAATGAAAATTAATTATTCGTAGGCTCGAGTACCGGACGCTGTTCTGGAAATGAGCCCGCGTTCTTAACCGGCCACAAGGTAAGTTTAATGACGGGAAATTCTATAATTCACTGAATGGCCCAAATTTTGAGTGGCTACCTCTTTAGCTAGAATGCTTCCCTCTGAATACAAATATTTATAATGTCCGATCATGTGGGTTGTAGGTTAGTAATTACTACCTGATTAAATGGATAATTTTTTTTCCTTTTCTTTTTGCGTCCTGTCGGTAGTCAGTTATATTCTTCGGCTTTTTTATCGCTTGTCGGCTAACCCCATTCAGAACCTTCATTAATGTCAGGTAACTGACATTAATTTGCAATTTCAAAATGTGATCAGTATAATAAGCAAAGAGATCCTTTGAAATTGCGAAGATAAAAATTAGGAAGGTTCTGAGGCATACTAGTCGTTAAATAATTTATTCGGTGGTTTATGAGGTCAGAAAGATGTATTTTTAATTTATCTCAGCTAAAACCAATTATTTTTTTTCTGGTAAGATGTAAAAACCTTCTTGATCCGCGCGTAATGTAAAATAAACAAAAATTACAGTTAATGATATATCGGAACCCACATTTATGTTTATCTCAGAGGCGTGGCTTGGAGTTTATATTGTGGGAGGGGAATTTTATAGTAACGAACCCCGCGCGCCTGAAGTGAATTTTTTTATGCTGCTTCTCATCTTTTTCTATCAGCCTGCTCATTTTCCTGTGCCGAGGAGGACTAGCACATGGAGTCTCTTGCGCTGAAAAGATTTCTGGCATTTTGATTCTTCAGATCTACGCGTTTCTACAAACCTGAATTGCACAGTTTGCATTTTTTAACTCACTTCCAAGCATACATCTCATAGAAGAAGGGGGGGGGGGAGGGAAGGGGGGGGAAGAAGGGGTGTTATGGGCACCCCTGAATACCCCAGAGCGAATGTTCGAGTGTAACAGCCCTTTTTTTTACCATGGAAACGGTTAGACACAAGCTTGAGTAGGCAGTGTTATCAAATGCAAATAATCATATTTTTCCTTTCTGCTTGCGTTTTTGTTGCGCTCATGAAACAGAAAATAGCTTAAGCACAAGGGGATTTATCATTTTCAGGTCACTGATAGACTTTTTCCAATCTCCTTCGGGAGAAGGACACTTATTTTCAACCGCTCTGAATGAAGGGTTTATTCTTATGGTGGCTGAGAAGGTATGAGCGGCGGCGAAGGTATTTCAAAATCCATTTTGTTGTGAATTGAGTACGAATGGCATATCATCTTTAGCAGATGCAACTTTCTGTTGCTATGCAGGTTGTGATATGGGAAATGGGAAAACCACTTCAAAACTCATGCCGCGCAATCGCAACTGAGAGTATTATCAGCCCCATTCTCTCCTTCCCATCGATCTCCCTACACGCGTAGGATTTCACACACCTGTGATCTAAAACAGTCATCTTGCCGGCATTCAGGTGTAAAACATGTCTTTTTTTCTCTTTACACAAAGTGCCTTATACTGGTTTTGCTTGCTGCTATGTGCACGTGTGAGTGCTTCGCCAGTGTAAACCAGGTTTGTTCACAACCTCATTGATCTAACAACTTCCGGAAGTAAATGCCAAATTCTTTAAATTTGGGCCATAAAAATTTTATGACTCGACGATTGTTGTTTTGAGGATTCACAGTAAAATTACGACATAAGATTAACAATTGCGTTTCCTAAAATATTAAATTATCTTGATAAACATGATAAAATCTCTCGATTAAAAACGTTACATGTGAATAATAAATTTTATCTCACTCGGTAACCGTCGATGTGAATTCTACCTTATTCTCGACAAAAATGAAAAACATAACGTTTTTCAAAACGTTTAAAATTGTAACGCTTCAAAGCAGCGGTTAATCTTTTATTAATGACTTTTATCTTTCATCTATTATTTAAGACACGTACTTACATTCCCCCGACAACAATCAAACAGATATAGATCGTATCAAAGAGTTTTGAGTGTAAAAAGGACATAATCAGTTTCAATATCACAGATACATGCACCAATAGGAAGAGTGTAATGAGGCGCCTAGGATACAATTCATCTGAACAATTCACCACAATGCTTGTTTTGATCACGGAATCTATTCTTAAGGAGCTTGAGTAGAGCGGAAAGAAAACATAAATATTCAACCGCCAAACAGAGGGTTTTTTGTGAAAAGAAAAAAAAAAGGTTGGAAGAATTATTTTTGAAATTCGAATACTTCTGATCGGATAATACCCATGTGTTTAAGGATTACATAAGGGAGTTATTCCACTTTCACAACTTTTTCCTGCTTGTTATAATCGCCTTGTTCAAAGCGATGGCAGCCAACAGAGCACCTACATCAACTACAAATGTTAAAAAAGATCTGACATATTTCTCGGATGATCAAGAATTTGAGACAGACTTGGAGGATGATTTTGACGTTGATAACTCGCGGAAGAGCAAACCTAACAAGACAACTGTGGAGCGATATTTTGATGCCTGTGAAGCCCTCAACACTGTTCCTGTTGCCAAATTTGTTTGTCAATCTCCAAAAGGCCATGTAGATCTTAAACATTATGGAATACGAGATATCGGCGCCCGGGCAATCGCCATAGCGCTAGAGCAAGACATTGTGGTTACAACCCTATACCTCCATGACAACGGGATTGGAGAAGCAGGAGCCGTTGCTCTGTCCAGAATGCTCAAAGATAACTGTTTCGTGCAGAACTTTGACATTTCGGCGAACAAAATTGGGAGACTAGGCACTAGAGCAATTGGAGACATGTTACTGGAGAATGCTTCGCTTCAGGAAGTAAACTTAAGCGGTTGTGGAATTCATGGTAAGGATATAAAGCAGTTTTTAAAAGCCTTATCTGGCAATCCTTACTTGAAGGGCTTGGATTTCAGTTATAATGATCTAGGAGACGAGGGCGCCATTCACTTGGGCCGTGCGCTTTCCAAAAATCAAAAGGTGGAACTTCTTGATCTCAGCTGGAACAACATTCGTGTCGCGGGCATCGAGGCGCTCGCCAAAGGACTGGCGACGAACAAGAAACTAAGACAACTGGAACTTTCCTGGAACTGCTTCTTGGACGAAGGGGCGAATCATCTTGGCTCAGCTCTGCTGAAAAACAATTGTCTTAAAGTACTGGAGGTGCAAAGTTGCGGGATTCACACTGCTGGGGTTTTCAAGATCGCCGACGCCCTAAAGAAGAATCAAAGCCTTGAGGTGTTGAGGATCGGTAAAAATCCCTTTCAGAGTTCCGGCGCGGGTTCACTTCTCCGCGGTATACGAGGCAACCAGACGGGTGCTTTGCGCGAGCTCCTTCTGGACGATGTGGTGTTTGACAAGGAATGCGAAAGGGAGCTGGACGCTCTGCTCCAGGAACGACCAAACTTCAACTGTTCTTGGGATGTCAGTATCAGGGGAGGAGACGCAATGAGAGGCAAGAAAAAAAAGCCAGACGCAGTGGAGATTTTTCTCGCCTTTGTTCGAACACGAGGTCTTCGTCTAATAGACTTGTTCAGGATGTTGGCCAAGGATGGCAACTCAACGACTCTCACCAAAACTGAATTTATCACTGGGATGAAAAAACTCAACGCCCCCCTCAAAGATCACCAGCTTAGAGCGCTGTTCGACGTCTTGGACGAGAATCATGACGACAGCGTGGAGTTTTATGAGTTCCTTAGCTCCAGGGGTCACTATTTAAAGACAGCGCAAAAAAAATAATAGCTTACATCTCCTGCCTGACTCTACTGCAAAACTCCAGTAAAACCTAGTTTACTGAAGAGGAAAGCCAACTGACTAGCACGTTTCGCATCATATTCTGAGGTCAGCGTTCTAGCTCCGGCGTGAAATCCATTTGAAATTGCGTGATTCTAGTTACAGACGATTTGTAAAATCTATCAAACTTAGATCGTTCAGCACCTCATCAGGCTTTCATAGTAGTTACTCAGATATGCTCCTGGCCTGATGGTGAGAGGCGCAATGAGAGAGAAGCACATTGCCCGAGAACACAGCACAATGACCCGGCCAGGTCTGAAATCCGGGCATCTCGAACACAAGACCGACGCGCTTACTGTCGCGCCACAGTCCACGCCACTACTTCTCCCATCATCAAGTTAGTCAACTAAAAAGAGTCCTGCCTTCAGATGTTACGTTTATTAAACTGTACACTGTTTCTTTAACACTCGAAAGACACTCAAAGCCAAGAGTGCGACCTTTCAAACTTTGAGAAGTACTCTCAAGTTCGTTTTTGTCTTTTTCCTTTCTTTTGTTACATTTATCAAAATTGTTTTTATGGTATGAAATAACCGACACAATCTGAGGCAGAAATTTTGTTCAATCTTCGTCGACGTACTCAAACGGTTCTGGAGGTTCAGGTTCGTCTTCCTCTTCTTCAGTGCCAATACCCATGGGCGAGGAAGCTAACAGAGAAATCAAACTCAAAATAAGCTCATCGTAGTTAACCCTTTAACTCCCGTGAGTGACCAAGACAAAATTTCTTCTTACTATATCTATACAATATCATGCAGACAAGTGATGAGAATAACGCAAAATATCAATTATGGGCTTGCTAACTGATCCGATACCAAATTCTCCAAACTAATATAATGAGAATCATGTGGCGAACAGTTAAGAGAATTACTAATGAGATCTTAGGAGTTAAAGGATTAATAAAGGTAATAGGACCGAGTGAAGTCTTATTCGGTCCGTAATCATACAAGTGACTAACAAAATCGAACGACCGCGAAGCGGGAGTCCGTTTTGTCAATCATGAGGTATTATCACAGACAGAATTGGACGACAGGAAGTCCTGTTACCAATTAATCATAACTGTTACAATTTCCGAAAAAAAAAAACATTTAGGACAAACATACAAACATCTCTGGTAGACAATGTCTAAAGTAAAAAAGTTCCCCGGGTCTTTTTATTCCCCAGGATAAGTGGTCGTTGCTAACGTTATTGTGTAATTGGTGGATTTAACTGAGTGGTCTTAGTATGATTGGCTGCTTCAACTGTCCGCTTACAAGTGTCTAATTACAGCCAATTGTCCGACTACGCTGTCCGATTACAACTGTACAGAATGATTCATAAAAAATAAAGCAGTTGATGCAACAGTTGTATTTCAGGAAATTGTAAACGGTTACGATTAACTCCAATGTGTGGAGAATACATTGATGCATCGAAGATTGAAGATTTATTGAGGAAAACGAGAGAATCCGATACAAGGTTTAGATATATTCAAACAATTTTGGAACGTGTTTTTTTTTTTCCGAATGAAAACGAAATCGTTGTTCACATTCAGCTCACTGACAAATTCTCTAATAAAAATTTCATCTTTTCCCGAAAATGTCCGCAGACGGATTGTTCGACTGTGGTAGTAAATTTCTCTAAGTTACTGAGAGATTTATTACCAGGAAGAGGTTCGATCAAGTCCTCGGGCTCATCAGATTTGGAGTCAGTCATCATCACAATTCCTCCGATGTTAACCTACAGTGAAAAAATAAAAGGAAAAAAAAATCATAAAAGTTATTAAGCCATCAGCGCTATGCTAAGGGAAGAGCTATGACCGCTAACTTATTCTTAAAAGCTATCTCCTCTAGGAGTTCACCCTCTGACTCCTAAGAGTGATTAGCATTTAATTTCTCCTTACAATATTATCCTCGAATCAACCATTGGGGTCACAGGAAAAAAGGAAATGACCTTCAACTAAAGAAGCTCTTGATTGTGAAGTAAATTCTCCTTGTCAGCGCCTCAGGAAGTGTCCAGAGAACAGTATGGAGAATATGCACATTGATGTTTGAGTGTAAAGAGTTGAACAAACCGCAAGGACTCCTTTTATTGGAAAATCACGAGGGGCTTGGGAAAAAAAAAAACCTCCGAGTTCTCCTTAACCCTTTCTGAGAACAAACGAATAACACCATTTAAGATAACTTAGATCAAAAGCTTCAAGTAAAGCTTACCGGTTTTAGAGGCCTGTATCGGCTGTCTTCTGGTAGGGAGATAACCTTGAGCTGCGGAAAGAAAGATGTTAGCATCACGGTATATAAATAATTAAAAAGCAATATCTCTTTAAATAAACGAAATCCAGGTAAGCCGAGATGATGTAGAATATAAAACAACCTTGATGCAGCGAGACTTCTCAAAAAATCAAATTTCAATGCATACAAAATACACCACTTCATGGCAATAGTTAATCGCATACAACAAGAAGACATGCTGATAAAGAGAGAAACAATTTTCGTTAATGCGTCGCTGCTAACAGCATTAGTTTCACATTTTTGCCGAGGTAGAACACCACTTGAACCTCTTGCTACACGAGTTTTCAATTTTCACTCCAGTGTACCAGTCTGTGTATATCAGATAAAAATAACTACAAAAATGACAAAATTCACACTTGGCGAAGAATCAAGGAAAAAACCACACACAACATGCGGCGCGGATCAAAACTGGAAGATGTAAAAAGATAATTTCGAAACAATATGCACATGACGTCTGGAAGGGATAAATAACACAAACAGAAAACCGCAATCAAGGCGGGATACTCGCTAAAGCTCTTTGTCTAGCAACCTAAGGCTTCAAAATATTTCTAGTTTCGTTCATTTTTTTAATTCACAACTACTAACGAGAAAAAAAAAAGAAAAAAAAAAGGAAGAAACGAAGGTAACTGCACAAACCTGTGCGGGTAGAACTCTTGCCGGATTCTCTAACAATTCAAAGTCAGGTTCGTCTTCTTCCATTTTCTCGCTACTTTCCTTTTCACTCTTTTCAACAGTTGATTCTTCCTCGGACTTGTCTTTCTCGCCTTCTTTCTCCTACAAAATGTTTTAAAAATTGAAAAGATGAATTAAGCCCCGTGCCCAATCTTTTCGCAATTTACCGAGAGGTGAGAAAATTCTGCGGGAGTATATTTTTTTTTCGGATTGAGATTTTTTTGTGTTTCGAGGTGTTTTATCGGTAGGAGATTGCTGCAGTTTCTGCTGGCTACTATTTCTGCGATTTTCTATTAAACTAGTAGAACCGTAACGAAAAAAGATACTTAAAACCGTCAAGTTTGTCTAGTTATACAGTGGGAAGCTTCAAGATAGATAACTCGGCGATGAATATTTCGGGAGGGTCCGAACACAAAGCAAGCGAATTGTAACTTGGTTAAAGAGCAAAATTTTTAATTTGAGCAACGCTGCTAAATGACAGCAACGTTATATTTTAGGGAATTTTCATTTTATGTGATAAAACTTAGTTTCCATCCCATCTACACAGCAAAGTGGTCCGGTCACCGCTCGTACCCTGATATTATGTAGGATCGTTCCTGCGCGCACATGAAATCTTGAGTCAGGTTAGAGTTTTCTTCTGTGAAGTTTTTGTACAACAATCACCACAACCATATACGTAAAAGAGATAACGAATCAAAGCAACAAAGATTAATGCTAACCTTTTTAGCTGATGAAGCTTTTCCTTTGTCTGCTTCCTGATCCTGTCAGAGAAGCAAATAAAACGTGCATTAAAATAAGTTATTTCCCAAGTACGTTGATCAGAAAACGCGCGTGGAGGAGCGAGTGTGCTAGAGCGCCATAATTCAGACGAAACGAATATGACTATCTTGAAGCCTTAAAAAAGATTTGAACGAAGCCAAGATAGAAATATTGCGAATCAAAAGGAGAATGAACTGCTAACCACTTCCATCTTGTCATCGGATGCCTCGGATTTCTTTGCTCTGGCCTTCGCCTTAGCTGTGATGGACAGAACTGCTGTAGTGACCTGGGAACGAAAAAGAAAAAAAGAAAAAAAGATGAGGTTAGCTACCACTAGTTGTCTTTACTCTAGTAAGACGCAGGCAAAATAACAGGAAGATGAAAGGAAACATTTGCGGTTAACAGCAAGAAGCAGTACTAAAACACAGACTTTCATTCCAATTTTAAGCCTTTGAAACTCAAATTCAAAGAAGTTCTACCCAAGTAAGAGGATGAACACTGATTTTCTCATTATCTTGCCGAGGATAACAAATCAAAGACTCACTTTTCTACCTTGTGATCCTCTTCATACAAACATACCTTTTCCTTCTCTTCTTTCTTAGGAGGCTTCAGAGGTTCAGGGTAGGCGTACATTGATGGCTTCACGTTGGATCTGAACTGCATTTTGGGCATCTACAATACAAATGCGAAATAATTTAGCAACAAAGAAAATCATGGTAGCGCACTTGTTTAATCCTTTAACTCACATGAGTGACCAGGACAGAATTTCTCCTTACAATATCAATACAATATCAAACAGAAAAGTGAGGAGAATAAAGAAAAATATCAGTTAGGGAATTATAAGTTGTTTCAATACCAAATTCTCCAAACTAACATCACAAGAACTGTATGGCCAACAGTTGGAAGAATTGCTAATTAGATCTTGAGAGTTAAAGGGTTAAAATCCATACCGAGCCTACGAAACAGAAAATCTTAGGACACGATATAAATCAGTGACTACCCAAAGAGGAACGAAGTAAAATCTCCCAGCGAGGATCATCTCGTCTGTTCATTTCCCAAGTCAATATTTTCGTTTTAACCCTTTAACTCCCAGAAATGATTAACAAGTAACTTCTCCCTACAATACCCAGCAAACAGGTTATGAGAATACTCAAATGTATCAAGTAAAAATTGTTATCTTGATCTAACACCAAATTCTCAAAACTAATTTACAAGGAAATGTGTAGCAGCTAGGGGGGAGAATTAACAATCAGATCATGGGAGGTAAAGGGTTAATAGTTTAATTACATATCTGCCTTAGTGACGCATGAACCTTATCTGAACTGTTTACAACGTTGGTTTCTTCGAAGCTCAATTGATAAGAACCTCATAATGGCTTCACGAAGTCAGTTTGAACGCCACAGGTTTTTTGCCCCATATTTTCTTTTTTTAGCTTTCTGTTCCTAATTACATGAATTGCATCCCTACTCCAAATTTCTCGCCCAGCTCCCTTAACTGTCAAGCAAAAAACCTTGGATCGAAACTAAAAATTTTGCGAAACACTGGAGTCTTCATTTGTTTCTCTCTTACTAAAAAATAGAGCATTGATTTTACCTTCAAATCGGAATTAAGTCCAATGATACACGAGGGAGTAAAAGCCAAGGACAAGAAGTGTGAGAGTGGGAACCAGTACCACACGTGTGTAAATACAAACAGTCCTACAACTGTTGCCATGTGCGTGTGACCCGCGCGAGACTCGAGCGAGATGGTCACGTTCCGTCCACCTGACAGAAAAAAAAAATAGAAAAAGAAGGTGATGAGCGGATGTTTTATTTCTTTATGCTTCGTGAGACCTTGTATTCTCGTTTTGCCGAACGTCGCTTTTAAATGAAACTGGAAATTTCTGCGTAAGAACAACAAAAAGATGTCTCATCTCGCATGCGCAACGTTAACGTGCGAGCACCATGCAAAATGCACGAAATGCAGTCACTAGCGAGGTGGAAATACTCACCGGCATCAAGGATTCCCTGAGCTAGGGTAGCGCCGAATTTAGCAATGACATCTTCATGCTTGTCACTGATCACCTTTGCGAAGATCTCGCGGAATTTCATTACCTTCGGACACGCAAGTTCCGTCTGCTGGATGAGAACCAGGGAGCTGGCGATTAAAGCACCCTGGTAAAACAGAAACAGAAATTTAAGATTCTGGGCTATCAAACATTTAAAGCTAAAACAAAACCCTGCACTTCTGTTTTGAAGTTTGATTTGTTCAGCAAAGTTTGATGAGAACATATCATCTCATCATGTCTCACGCTCGTGACAAGAAGAAAAACATAATTATCTCTCAACATATCATCTGTTTACTTGTACGATGTCTGATTTACACACCTAAGAGCTACATCTTACCTGCCGCACATAGTTCACAGGGTCATTTGTCATGGGTTCCAAAAGAGCAATCGCCTCCTTAAAAAAAAAACAAACAAATAAACAAATAAGTGAATAAATAAATAAGTAAAGATCACGAACGTTGAGCTTCTTCGACATCGACCGAAACACTCGAGGATTTTCAAGTCTCAAACTACAAAATATTCTTCGTATCTTCTCTTCATTGCTTCTGGTAAGCGATAATCATACAAGTTTTAAGGGGCTAAGTTCGCAAACAGTTTGCGCGGGAGGTTAGGGCGCAGGAATTGAAATCGGGCCTTGATTGAAGTTTCCCGCCCAGGTAGGAACCAGGTTTGTTCTCGGTTCCCTTGTGTTTAACTCTTTGGCAGCGCTTCTCCACCAGTCAACAGTTATTATTTCTTCTTATGACTGCAAATAACGGCCAGTGTTACGGTTAGTCTGATATTTCTGTTGAAATACCTTTAATCCAGTGCCTGCGCAGGCAATACCCAGGGCCATGGCTGCTCCGTATCTCACGTGAGGGTTATAACTCTCTGACAACAGGGACACCACACTTGGACACTGCTCAGGAGTTCTACAAGGTTAAGAGACACTTTCTTTAGTTTGGGTTCTGAAAACTAGTCTTAAAAAGCTACCTTACAACGAAATTTACCCCATTTTATTTTCCAATATCTCGATATCAATTCTCTACAGCGGCTGTTTTTATTTGTCGTGATTTCAGCTTCGAGAACTGCTGTTTCAATCAAACAATTTCCCCCAATTGAAAATTAACTGTGACAGTAAACTGTCTTTATCAAGGACATAACACAACGATCTAGAACCCAACTCGGGTCCGAACCAGTCTATCTTTAGTCCAAACACAAGAAACGAATGACCTACACAGCTAAGTCTCTTGTTCCAAGATATTGCACGTGTATTCAACTGAGATACACACTGTGCTTTTAAAATCGATGATAAGCGATCTATTTTCATTAAGCTTACCGAAAAAGGAGAAAACCAAGTGACGTCACGGCAGCTCTTCTTACGTCATCACTGACATCGCTAACCTGTTATAAAACAAACGTTTTTCACTAATTTACTGTTAAAAGTTCTGGTTACCATACTACGTATACCAAGAAAATTACATTTAATTGGAAAGAACATTTACAATAAGTAAGGAAGTCTTAATCTGTGATGTCGTGACAGTGAACGATTACTGAGAGATGACCAAAAGCGTTTCCTTGCAATTCTAAAACGCAGCATCCAAGTGTGTGGCATTCTCGAGTGACACCGTTGCGTAACAGAAGTAATCAGACTACAAGAAAGCTGCGGAACAGTGTAACGTGACAAATTTGCGCAACCAGAAATTGGTGTGTACCAATGTTGTGCGACAAGAACGTTGCGTGACAGTATGCGAGACATATATGCATGAATTTGTGGCAGGGTCGTGCGGCACTGTTATGCAAAAGTACTTTTTTAAACAAATGACAAGGCAGTTGTGTGACAGCGTCACATGGAAAATCTACAACCACGTGTACGTACAGCGACATGAAGGAGTCTTTTGATGGCCTTGTTGTTTCCAGTGCCACAATAGGCCATGGCTACTGTATACATGCCACTTTGCCTCAAGTTAGGATCCTTGTCTTGCATCAAGCTTTCAATGAGCGCATCGGCTTCTTCCATTCGTGCGTACATCACCTGCATAATAAAACATCTACCTTAGAACACATTATCG